CATTAGATTAGAGTTAACCTCAATAACTGAATTGACTTGAGCCCCATTAGACAGATAATCTCAACACGGACCAAACTGAGTAGTTAGACCGAGGTTGGAAATTACCGAAACGTTGTCTTCTGTTCAGATTATTAGACGATAGACAGAGTCTAAAAACACAATAATATTAATAACAAGTTTCTTTATAAATATAACCTCAAATTTTCACTGAAAAACTATTATATGTTGAACGGGAAACTACGGACATAACAAAATCAGGATTCAATGTTGTTTATGCGATAAAAGCGAAAGTTCAAAATTCGTGCAAATATAAATTTCAATACTATTATTTCTCTAAATATATGTAGCACTGATTCATTACTTCACGCTTAAGCCAGAGTGTCTACTGCCTGAAATAGTCCAGTGCATAATAAACAAATAAAATCTACCCATTGACAATCAATATACTGATTAGTCTACTTCTATGTGAGTGATCTCCCGAAACGTCGTGTATATCAACTACGCTTCAGGCAATGACCAGTGCCCATCTTATAAAATTATGCTGAACAACGTTCTTCAAACACACAACTAAGATATTCTTTAGCGATTTATGATAAAATATTAGCCACTGATAAAAATTTATGAAGTACCACAGATTAAAGCAGAAATTATGAGTCAAGGCCCTGCCGCAAACCTATTCAGCTGCTTATAACACATATAAAGATAACAAACATTAAACTTACATCCGAGTTTGTGCACTGGTCAAAGATACGAGTAACCCACAGCCTAAAAATAAGGATGCTTCCATTATGCTGCTATAACAGTCTTATTATGGTTGCAATAGTTGAGGTTTTCACTGTGGTGATTACGTAGATGGCTGGCTGTCTTCTGGGCTGTTGTGCCGTGTAGTCTGCTGGAAGTATCGACGTTTAAGAGGTCCTTGCTGCCTCCATTATCATTGCGATCGCGGAAGCAAGGACCTCTGAAACGTCGACAATCTTCCACCAGACTACACGGCGAGCCCAGAAGACAGCTACCTGTTAAGGTTGTCCAGAAGTCTGAAAATGTGCTTACAATTTCATGAGAGAAACTATAGTTTTCGTGGTCCTAAATCCGTACACTTTTGGCTGTATTTAACAGTCGATCGTCTTCTGATCTTCCTAATTAATGGCTATAAACAAATTACCATAAACTGAAGACAAACCACATGAGATATAAACCACGAATGTCAATAACTTTAACCACAATGAGGTTCCAGGATTCTCAGTTTATCAGAATGAGTAATGACTGCTCTTATGTTTCCGTTTTGTCTTTTGTAAAATTTCTAACTGTTAGACGGGAAATATTTATTTGTGCCAAATGAACAGAAACGGAACAGGCGCAGAAAGGTGAATAATATTAAAATGTATCTAATAAGAACTAAGTTTGAAGAAACAGTCAAATGTGACCGTAATTTGAAGTTTCTATTCATCGTGTGTTCATTGCACTCACCAGGCAATAACGTGCCGGCATCCCGCCTTAAAACTTTGTTCAAATAAAGGAACAAGGACAAAAAACAATGCGGCACAAACAAACCAAACAGAACGGAAACTTCGCTAGACCCAGCAAGAAGTTGAATAAAGCGAACCCTTCTACAGCAACACATGTAGGGCGTGTAAGTTCAATCCGCTATTTGTGTAGAACGAGGGCTGGTTCTCAGAAGAACATGAACTACAAACGTCTGAAAATAAACATCCCACGAAAATATACGGACTAGAGGTGGGTGATGCAGACAGCAGTAAAATACGTGATTTATAAAGCTCACATAGCGTGGTTAAGACCGTGCAATGTGGACCTAAGGATCAATAATGTTCTAAAAATGCAGCTTTGATGGCGAAACAATGAATAAAGAATATTAAGAGACTTAAAAAATTTACTTGAAAGACCGAGAAAAAAATATTAAGATAATATAAGACGTTTCTCAACCTTTTAAAACCGAGACTTAACCAACGAGAACTGAGGGTAAGGTTCTGGACTAGCTTTCTTCTACATTCATATGGATCAGGATAATGACCAACAAGAGGCTTCTATGAATACAGTAATAAACATTCGAGTTTCATTAAAGCCGGGAGATTTACTGAGAAGATGATCGACTATTAGTTCCTCAAGAATTATTCAACTCTGACCCATTCAGGTGGGTAGACTTATAAACCATCTTCTCCGAATGTGGCTGAGAAGTGGACAGAAACACATTGGTCGCAAGCCCATATCGAGAAACAGAAATCGAAACCACAAAACTTTAGAACCGTGGTAATTATACTGAAGTGAATTCCTGCAAGCTCTAAAGTCTCCCTTCCTTTTACAGTACGTACGTCAAAATCTTGCAACAGCCCATGCAAACAACGAAGCAAGAGACGTGGCGTCGAAGAATATATACAGCTGCAATTAACTCCGGAAACGAAATTATAAACAGGCGTACAGACGTGTCTAATGTATAATATTAGATGTAATATATACTAAATCTCAAAGGAAATAATAATAAATATTTGCCCAACATCCCGGGTGAACACGACATTAGTGAACTTTAGAAAGCCGCCATTCTAGGAACATCATATATTATTCGAAAGATGCTGATAATAATGTCCCACACGAAATCTATATAATGCATGTAACACATATTTAGAAACAAAATGTGTTTCAGAAATAGCTGCTGCACTATGTACCTTAGGGGCAAGGTTTGTCTCAGGTACACAGAAGTAAATACTCTGCAAAATGGTGAACAATGGAATAATATTAATAATATTAATAAGCAACTGAAACTGTTTCCAGGTCACTCAGAAAATATTTGGCCAACATTCCGGGCGAACACGACATCAGGGAACTGCAGAAGACCGCTATTTTAGGATCTTCATATATCATTCGAAAGACGTTGTCGTAAAATATATGGTCATCTCTAACACTAAAACTATATAATACATGTAGGACGTGTTAAAAAGAAAATTTATTCCGGAAATAGCTGCTGCACTATGTACCTTAGGGACAAGGTTTGTCTCGGGTACATGGAAGTAAATACCCTATAAAGTGGTGAATAGATGGAATAATAATAATAATAATAATTCAGGATAACCAGATAACTATTTTGTGGAACCAACAAGTCAAAACAGATAGAACCATTCCAAATAACAAACCAGATATTAGCTATAATCCGAAATAAAAATGGAACTTTTGGTATAGCAATACGAACTGACAGGAATGTACGAGGGTGTTTCAAAAAGTAACAGCAAATTCCTTCAGGGGTCCAAACACATGATAATCAGAGGCAGAAAGGTCAGGGCTGTAAGATCTGAAATCTCAATCTCCGAATTGTGTGAGGGCGTGCGTTATCATGGACGACCGGATTGATGTTCGCCCATTTTTAAACGCATCTACCCACTCGTCCACTCTTCTCTCGCCAATGCAGCATTCTTCTATGAATTTCACGAGGTTTCACACCTTCTGACCACAAAAATCTGATGATTGCTCGCTGCTCCTCTACGGAGCAAACAGCTAAGGGCGCCGCCATTTTATTTATGCATCCCTTCCAAGTACGCCACGCCATTTATTGGGCAGTGTCAAAACCTTCTCTAAGAACGTATCTTCCCTGTGCGGGAGTTTGAAATTCCTGGGGTATTAATTACGTGAAATATTGTCAATTTGCTGTTACTTTTTGAAACGCCCTCGTAATTAAGAAGGAAGTGGAGAAGATCTTGAAATACAAGGACCTTCTCATACAAATACAGAGAATGTTGAAAGTGAAAGCGAAAGTAATTCCAATAATTATAGCAGCAACTGAAACTGTCTCCAAGTCACTCAGAAAATATTTGGCGAACATTCCGGGCGAACACGACATCAGGGAACTTCAGAAAACTGCCAATTTAGAATCTTCATACATCATTCGATACACGCTGTCGTAAAATATGTAGTCATCTCTAACAATAAAACTATATAAACACGTGCTAAAAGCAATATGTATCCCGGAAATAGCTGCTGCCCTATGTACCTTAGGGACAACGTCTGTCTCGGGTACATGGAAGTAAATACCTTATAAAGTGGTGAATAGATGGGATAATAATAATAATACTGATAACAAGCTTCATAATGGATATTCTTACAAACAAATATTTATTTATTTAGTGTTCTGTCTGACGACAGGTTCATTATTCTGCCCAAAAAGTGTTCGCCAGTTTTCCTTATTCGCAGCTTCTCGTTTTAAATCCTGAAACTTCATCTTCTTTCCTTGTTTAAGATCGTCGGTTAGCACAAACAAGTATATAATTAAAATGATTTATAAATGACCAGTACAGTTTTTGTAGAAACTTTCAAGTTACAGAGCACTGCCCGGATTTCTTAGATTGTTACTTCGTGTCCCAGTACGTGACCTACATTAGCGGGAATTTGGAACGTGCATGGGAATATAATATGAAAACTGATCTTAAAGAAACGGTGTGAGGGTGTGGGTTGAAACCATCTGGCTCAGGACAGGGTCCAGGTGCTGCCTCTTTGAACATGGCAACAAATCTCTGGGATTCGCAGACAACTGATAATTTCTTAATTATAAGCTTTTCAATAGGAATTCTTCTCCACGAACTTAATTATAAGAATATGAACATAAACATACCTAATTCAGAACTGTGAAGTAACTCATTATTGTAGGAATTGCATTAATTATTTCAACACAAAAATAATTTTTATATCATAAGTAGTTCTCTCTATGATTTGTTGCTAGTCTTTTTGGTTATAACGCCGCTTGGACTTGTAAGCAGATACCAGGGTTTCGGAGGAACATACTGCCTCTATCTTCAGGGTTGAAAATGTAGGCAGTATGTTCTTCGGGAAGGTTGATATATACCTATAACAACATGACGTTAAATTTAGAAGATCAAAGCAGACAATATAACTTTTTCCGTAAAGAATCTGAGAAAAACTGACGTAAGTTTGATTTTAAACAGCCACTTCCCTCTGAGACAGCGGATGCTGTATCTTGATCGTGACGCGACACTCACCATGTTGGCGTCTTCTGCGTAGGGTGGCTCCTCCAAATCGGCGCCACTTCCCCTTCGGCTGTCGCCGGGGCTGGAGTGGCGCCGGGATCGAGAACCCGGCGCGTCCCGGTCGGGGCTGTTGTAATCCTGAGAAGAAGCAACCGCACGTGGGCGGAACACACCTGTTATCACGTGTCCGGACACCACGAGCTACTAACACCTCACGCTGCATGACTACATAACACAGACGATGAAGAACACTCTTGCACGCAAAGAGTTTATAAAAATAATTATTTTTACATAATCTAAAAGGACTTAAACGAAATGATTCCAAAAATAGCCCTTATTATCAACAACACGCACGTAAAAGAATGTATTTACGTCACTCATTATCTAATTTGTAAGGTATTTAATGATTTAAAAGTCATACAAAACCTTAATTGGAATATTATTATAAGTACATATGCTGAATTTGGTCGTTGCCAATTTTAATGTAGACCTACTCTACCTGTTTATAAGACGTAAGGCATTTATAAACAAATCTGGTAAACTGAAGCAAAATTCGGGGTTGCTAATACCGAATGAAAACTCTGGTTAACCAAAACTTCTCCATAGCAAAGATCAGTTGGTTAATGCTGTTTAAGGAAATGATCTCTGTTTACAGTGAGAATTACATAAAATTAATAATTACAAAATGTAGATATAGTGGCTATTAAATGAGGTGGTTCATGTAATTACTACTGGGCTTTAAGGGCCAAGGGAATAAGATATTCAGAAGAACAAATACTTAATTTCCACGTCTCGGAAACTAAGCTTGTGTTCCTTTACATCAATACGATTTTCTTAATCCAACAAACGTGTAACTCTCACGAATCGGTTTTAACTAATCTGATTATCTGTAAGAAGGTTACTAAGTCATTTAACAACAAAGGAGAAATTATAATTTCCTTAGCATTTTGTAAAATTAAACACAGCAAAGCCTACAAAGCAAAGCTTCTTTAGAAGTAGCTGTTATTCCGAAGTAATAAAGCAAAGAAAAAAAAATCGATTGCAGGTTTGAAAACTAATGCAAAGTTCCTTCGATCCATTCCTGTGTTGAAAATACCCATAAAATTCAGTATTTTGGGGTTATAAATCTATAGGAGCCAATAAATTAGTTTACAAATAAATTCTTTACATATTGCATAACTGAAATGAAACAAGAAATGATAAATGTCTTGATATGAAAGTAATAATATGAGCAGCAAAATTGTTGTATTAGGTACAATGTCCTGTTAAAGATTTAAGTAAGGTCATCTTATGGAATTGCTGCTGGTAAAATGGAGGCCACTTTATTTAAGGGACGTAGATAAATTTTAATTTCATATGCCTACCGAATCGAAACTATAAAACTCGTTATTTAACTAGGAAAGCTACGTCGATACATCACGCAACAACTGTTTCACTTTTAGACTTAAAATGTACTATGGTTATTGTAAATTATTAATTTTATCACCATTTAATAAATGTTTATTCATATTGTAAGTACACGTTGAAAAAACTGGAAATTAATTATTCTAAAGAAGGCATCGCTTTATTATCTAACTCTTCATAAAATATACTATAAATTACCTAAAGATGTCAAATGTGGCTTTGTTTCATAATCAGAATTGTAACGATGGAAGTATCAGTTTCAAGATCAAGGAAGCAAGCCTGTGCCATTGTCTCAACATATACTGGACGGGTACAAGAAAGTGAGACACAAACATTCAAACTTCACAATATAATCTGTTTTCAAATCGTCATGACAACAATCCCAGATCAACAGGCATTAACATGTAAACCACACACCATAAACAAAGACGCAACGGAAAGAGTAAAGCATTACACTAACCAAACTACAACATAATCATGAAAGCCATAAAACTCAGAGAAACGCTAAACAATGATGCGCCCCCCCCCCCCCAACGGTCAAAGCAACAGTGATGTCACGTGTAAAATTTTGGGAGTCTGCATGGATGTATCTTGTCTATGCGTATGGCTTTAAAAGTCTGACTCCAGAACTCCCTGGGCAAATGCGGAATTCTACAGGGTGGTTAAAAAATTCACAGAAAGATTTTTGTGTCATTATTAGTAACACAAATCCACAAAGTATGTGGGTTAACCTACAGTAGTATTTCCTTGATTTACACAATTATATATTTTGTAAACCTTTAGAGATGTATACAGTCATGTTACCTTTTTTCAGAAGATGAAATTATTTATAAGAAACACGTATAAATGTTTAGCAACTTCCAAAAGCGCAATAAATCACACTCTTAAATTCAAGTAATACTCCGACAAGAATTACTTAAACAGTAACAGACCGAGGTAATCAACCAGTTTTACACTTCTGTGAGTTCGTTCAGGGTACGCAATAGACAGAAGGCTGGGTTAGTCCCACTGTATCCGTATAATCAATGTCTGCGCCGAAAATTACAAACATGGTGACAGCGCAAAACATCGGGGGCGGTAATTATGTACAAAGGAAAACAGTTGCTAATAATTTATTTGTAATTTATACTAGTGTCTCGAAAGAGCTGGCAATATGATCATGGATGTTGTATATCTAAAAATTTGAAACAAAATTCGCAGCCTATTTAAAGTTATTGATCTGACTAGGGGTTTGTAATGCTGATTTCTGCAAATTACTTTCAACCTCTTCGTTAATTTTGGTTATCGTACGTAGAGGGCCAGCCCCACTTATATCTCTGCGTTTTTACAATGAGAAACCGTAGGAGTTATAGATTTGTAGCAACACAGCAAGGACACATCATCAACCGCCTACGTCAGTGTCTGTTTACAAGTCTATGCTGCGGCACAACCCAGAAGAACTTCGCCAACCTCATAAATATTTAGTTCTCCCAGAAAACACACACAAAAAAGTGACGTTCAGGCATGAAAGAATTTTATAAAGATCGGCTGCATCGAACAATACACTATTTTATGAAAAGGGTAAATACCCTACATTACACAAACTAATAATATTAAGTAATGTTGATTTCAGTTACAAATAATGTGATTTTTGTGGTTTATTTACACTGGTAGCTGAACTATGTAGAGGTCGAGCGAGAAGTGCTGGCACTCGCGCAAAGGACTGATTTTGGTCGAATGAGATGGACTCGTCTGAATCACGCGCTAGAGGGGTGTCAGCTTCAGTCGGTTTGTAGCTTTAGCTGTGTTTAGTTCGGTGCGTCACCGCAGCTGAGGTTGTGCGACCCCCACTACTACTGAACTCCCCTCTCCCGGCTTACGCATCGCGCATTTAGATGCCACGACTACTCGCGCGACCTCTAAGAGCGGAGTGATGCTAAGGCGAAGCACAACAGTTAAACAGATACGCACTACAAAGCGTTCATATCAGCAAGCAGTTGATGGTTTTAGGAAGTGGCAGCACATACAGGTTCCAGAAACATCGTACGCACTTTGAAACTATAATAATGCAGCCGGAACATGGAATGTTTAATTATACAATCGCAGATGCGCACACTAACCGGGGAAGATCTTTCAATATAACTAAAAAGCGAGAAGCTAATAAGGTAGGGTTTATAGCATTTTCACTTATTATTTTCGAAACTAATTACATAACAGTTTAAAGTGGAGAATACAGCTTCTAGTAATAATTACATTAAATAGTATACCTCTTGTTTGTCTTTATTTTCCCTTTGAAATCAAGGTCTAAGAAATCCTTCCAGGCACCGGTTTCGAAAGGATAATATCCACTTTTAATTATCTTTAGCAATACTTTTTCATTAATGACAAACTACCGTACTCTATGCTCAAATATAAGTGTTATTCAAGTGTGCACCGATTACTATAGAGGTATGTTTTAAAATTGTTCATGTGAAAGATTTTATTTAACACAATTTATACCCGGAAAACGTAAATTTTACAGTAGGGCTTTAAAGTCAATAGCATATGTCGCACTTGTACGTAAAATAGAAATTGGATCAGATTTACTCGAATCACGTTTCTTAAAATTTTCATAAAATAAACGAACTTGTAATAAGTGCAACATAATTAAACAATTATATTAGGGTGGATACAAGTGGACTCGGGTTGAATGTGGCCCTCGGGCCGCCAGTTTGACCACGTTAGTTTACTTCTGTGCAATTATTATAAATATAAACAAAATACTTTTACAAAGGATGTAACAGTTTGGACAGAATATATCTTAAAGTTCGGTTCAAACAGTAGGAACGAGTTTTACATAGTGAAATAATACATGGAGTTTATAAGAATATAGAACCGGAAAAGATCCCTTTTTCAGTCACAGCTCTGAAAGGATGCGATTAAAATGGGTGCTGAAAATGTCTTCCGTGTAATTGAGTAAATGCTTGGACACGTTGTATCATTGACTATCGAACACATTCAGAGATACCGGGGGTTTTGCAAATAGTGTGACAGCCATTCACAATACGCCGAGCTTATACGTCATTGAAGGGATAGATAAACAAGGCTTTAAATGTTCCCACACATAGAAATCCACACTGTTGAAGTTAGGTGATCGTAGGGGCCACATAATTAATCCTCCTCGGCATCTCGCACAAGGATTTCCAAAGAGAAACGTTTACAGACGAATATTCGTTTACATTTTTATTTTTTGTTGTGTAGAACTCTCAGCTTATGTTTATATAAACCTTTCATATACACTCTGTATGTTACGGAACTAAGGTTTTGAGAAATTTTAAACTTGAAGTTTGTAAAGCCAATAGGTTATTTATGAGTGTTGTATGCTACTCGTGGTAGTCAAAACGAGTGCCGGGAATTATAAATAAATTAATGCAACTACGCGTATAAGATTCTAGTTATAATTAATGATTTATGCATACACTTTAACATATTTGAAATGAAATTGCCACAAGAAAATTAATAAAATAAATACCACCTTTGTAACTCGTAGTTATAGGTGTTAATGTAAATAAGGACATTGGTAAGTGTAGTTGTTATGGCAATCTAAACTTTAATTAAACGCCATTACCATTATAGTCCCATAACAACAGAGACAAACATTAAATTGCTCATTTTAGGAACAGTTTGTGTGACCAAAATTACTACTGAATCCAATAAGAATCAGCAGATTACACGCTGGCAAACACGCGTTCAGCTGATCCAATTGAATGGTACCT